CGTGGCTAAGTCAGCCTCTAGGAATTCTCATAACTCAGGGACTCCGGGGAGCTGGTAGTCATCATTTTGAAATGCAAACCTCTAGGGAGGTAGTTCCGGATCTCCCCCCTCCACTCCCCCCCCCCCCCCCCCCCCCCCCCCCCCCCCCCGTCCTGGGGAGAATAACAGCCTAACTTTGGTGGGGGCCTTGCTGCTAGATGCGAACCACTTCTGGTGATAAATAAGCGAGAAGCTTGTTTCTCCCCTGGAGAGAAGCCCACGGCCATGATAAAGTTAGCGTGAACTCTGCGGGACAAACTGTGTTGCCAAATCCCCTTACTGGAGGCCTAGTTATTGTTTATCTTGGAAAGAATATAGGGTTTTTGAAATTTTATGTTGAAAACAGGTTAAGGGGTTGTATCTGCTTTGGCTACCTGTAGAATTCCTTGTGTGAAACCGAAGGGAAAAAGTCGTATTCACAATGAAGTTGGGGGACACCTGGGTAGCCCAGTGGGTAGAGCGTGTGACTCTTGATTTCAGTGTCCAGAGTTCAAGCCCCACCTTGGTAGTAGAGCTTGACGTGGAGCCACGAGTGGGTGGTCAAGGAAGAATTCTTGAGATGTTTTCAGTGCAAAAAGGTGATTTTTATTGTAACCCGGTGACAAGACCGGTGGGCGGAAAGAGCAGCACTTATGGCTGTAGGAAGCTGGTGGCTTATGCTTAGTGCTCAAGGGAGAGGGGACATGCAAGGAATATGAAATCATAAATGCCTTCTTCAAATTTATTTTTTTTAAAGATTTTATTTAGTTATTTTAGAGAGAGGAAAGGAGAGCATGTGGGGTGGGGGTACAGAGGAAGAGCGAGAGAATCTCAAGCTGCCTCCTCACTGAGCACAGAGCCCCACTGGGAACCCACACGGGGCTCAGTCCCAGGACTCCGAAATCACCACCCAAGGAGTAATCAAGAATTGGGTGCAGAACCCACTGAGCCACCCAGGCACCCATGACAATTTTATTCTTCAGGTGAATGCCTGTAATGTGCATCACATTCTGGTTTAATGTTTTCAAAAATAAAAACTGTTTTTGTGGGGACGCCTGGGTGGCTCAGTCAGTTAAGCGTCTGCCTTCGGCTCAGGTCGTGATCCCAGAGTCCTGGGATTGAGCCCAGCATCAGGCTCCGTGCTCAACCGGAAGCCTGCTTCTCCCTCTGCCTACCGTGGGCTCTCTCTCTCTCTCTCTCTCTCTCTCTCTCTGGCAAATAAAGAAAATCTTTATTAAAAAACCTGTTTCTCGGGGCGCCTGGTTGGCTCAGTGGGTTAAAGCCTCTGCCTTCGGCTCAGGTCATGATCCCGGGGTCCTGGGATCGAGCCCCACATCGGGCTCTCTGCTCCGCAGGGAGCCTGCTTTCTCCCCTCTCTCTCTCTCTGCCTGCCTCTCTGCCTACTTGTGATCTCTCTCTCTCTGTCAAATAAATTTTAAAAAAAAATTAAAAAAAAAATTTAAAAAACCTGTTTCTGTGTCTCTGCTACCTTGGCGGAGGTTTTCCGCCTTGGAAGATTTTGTTTTTTCTTACCATTTCCCAACACACCCACCAACCACACCGCGCGTCTCAGAAGCTACAAAGCCTCCGCATATCTGCTTTATTTGCAACTCCTGCTCATCGCGCACCCCAGCGCGGCGCAGACATGCCCCTTCAACGCTTCACACTTCCTACATCACCTCCAACTGATGACCCCCGACACCTCGCCCCACACTTCGCACACAATACGCACACGGCATACGCCCAGTACCAGTGCCTCTCAACACGATGTTCACATCACTTGTACTTCATCTGTCCATCCATCCAGGGCAGCATCCTAGCCACCACGCACAGCCAGTCCCTCCCCCTTCCCCATCACCTAATATCCCCAACACAGGTGCCCTATTCCGTGTAGACGGGGCCCAGCCCTATTGTAGGGGCATAGCCCCAGGAGATTGCGCTGTGTACCAGGGGACAGAGGCCCCCCAGGCTCCCGTAGAGGGGACCCTAAGGAACTCCCAGTCCCAGGAAGCCTTCGGCCACTCTTGGTGACAGGCTGAGAGCAGAAAGATTATACCCAAAACCCTTCTGCCAGCCTCGGGCCCCACCCAGAGGCCGCTGTCAACCATGGAGGCAGAGGGAGGTGGCCCCAAGGACCTTGGAATGTCCCTCAAGCCTCCTTCTCCAACTTTGCTCAAGAGCTAGAAGTGGTCAGGCCCCTGCCAAAAAGCAGGTCATGTGGACACAGAGAAGCTCTGGAGTGTGACTTCGTCCTGGACAAGTCTCTGCCCTGGAAGGAGCCCCAGTCCAAATGATCTTGGTGCCCTCTGGCTCCTGGCACATCATAATACTGGCTACTGGCTGAGTGCTTACTACAGCAGTGTCAAGAGCTTTCCATCTCATTTAAGACTCATTAAGGTAGGTATAATTATTATCCCTATTTTACAGACGTCTGTCTGCAGCACGAAGAACTTGAGGCACAGCTAGAGAGGGCTGAGCTGGGATTCAAACTCAGATAGTCTGATCCCAGAGGACTGGACTAGAGCTGGAATACCTCTGCGGCTCAGCTCTGCTCCCGCCCCCTTCCGCCAGACCTCCCTGGGTGGCCCAGGAGGGGCGCCATCCTCTAGGGGCTTTCCAAGGCGGTCCTTCTCTCCTCCTTCCGCACTCATTTCTGGAGATCCTGATCACTGCCACCACCTGGCTGGGTACCAGGGGCACAGAGAAGACCCAGACATGGATTCACCCCCAAGAAGGCAGGATGTTTTCACATCTCTGTCAAATAAATAAATAAAATCTTTAAAAAATTTTAAAAATAAGCAAAATCTTAAAAAAAAAAAAAAAAAAGCATCTGCCTTCAGCTCAGGTCATGATCTCAGGGTCCTGGGATCGAGCTCTGCATTGGGCTCTCTGTTTGGCAGGGAGCCTGCTTCTCCCTTAAAAAAAAAAAAAAAAAAAAAAAAAAAAAAAAAAAGATCTTATTTATTTGACAGAGTACAAGCAGGGGGAGTGGCAGGCAGAGGCAGAGGCAGAAGCAGGCTCAAGGCAAAAATCCATCAGGGATGCTGGGATCCCAAGGATTGGGGTGTTGTTGTTTTTAAGATTTTATTTATTTGCCAGAGAAAGAAAGTGAGAGAGCACAAGAATACAAGCAGGGGGAGGGGCAGACAGAGGAAGAAGCAGGCTCCCTGCCAAGCAAGGAGCCCAGTGCAGAGCCTGATGTGGGACTCGATACCAGGACCCTGGAATCATGACCTGAGCTGAAGGCAGATGCTTAACCAACTGAGCCACCCAGGCATCCCAGGATTGGGGTTTTAAGCCCCACATGGGGACAGAGGTTAAGCGGAGGCCCCAGGAACAGCCCAGAATGGAAACCGCACACCTCGCACAAAGCTAGGAGCTGAGAATGGGCTGTCTGTCCTGGGCGCAGAAAACAAGAAAAAAAAAAAATCCATCCACAGACCTTGGGATACAGTATGGAAGCAAGTCACCCAACAGGGAGCGGATGGGAAAAGCCACAGCAGGAAATCAGAACCCCAAGGTTCTCCAAAGCATGGACTTGGATTCCAACCAAACCTCTGGAATGAACGCCTACTCTGAGAGATTTGTGAATGAAATGGTCAGAAACCTGTGTTGCATGTAAGATGGTGGCAGAAACCAAAGCAAGCTGGCCCCCAGGGATGGCAGAGGAGCCCAGGGGATTCAGGGGACTCCTGGAGGCAGGAGAAACACAAAGAGGTCAAGAAACCTTCTAGTGGTGAAATGAAACTCACCAGGGGTAAATCCAACCCATTGTACAGATAATAGTAACCACACCGTGCTCCCTCCCTCATGCTGTTTTATAACTGGGGGTTACGCAAGTTACCTAAGGTCAGTTAGCAATCGAAGTGTTTCATTTCTCTGTGACTCCATCTTCTCAGATGGAGAATGAGAATAATTTTAGCATCCCTCCCTCATAGGAGTTGCAAAGATAAAATGAGACACGACCTGTAAAGCACTTATTAGAACAATGCCTGGTACGTAGTAATAGTGTTAACACAGAGAAAGTTAAGTTTTAAAGGTTCAGAGATAAAGAAGGAAGAGCGGCTCTTAAAAAAAAATGGGACATGAAGAAAAAACTGGTGCATTAAGAAAAAGAATTCTGGAGGGGCGCCTGCGTGGCTAAGTCGGTTAAGTGTTGATTCCTGGTTTCAGCTCAGGTCGTGATCTCAGGGTCTTGAGATTGAGCCCCACATCAGGCTCTGTGTTCCGTGGGGAGTCTATCTGTCCATTTGCCCCCAAATCCCCACCCCTGCTCATGCTCTCTCTCCCCCTCAAATAAATAAAATCTTAAAAAAAAGAAAAGAGGGGTGCCTGGGTGGCTCAGTGGTTTGAGCCTCTGCCTTCGGCTCAGGTCATGATCCCAGGGTCCTGGGATCGAGCCCCACATCGGGCTCTCTGCTCAGCAGGGAGCCTTCTTCCCTCTATCTCTCTGCCTGCCTCTCTGCCTACTTGTGATCTCTGTCTGTTAAATAAATAAATAAAATCTTTAAAAAAAAAATGTAGTTTATCAGAGAGTAGGCATGATGGCTAGAACTACAGCCAGATTTCTGGATTCACAACTAGCGCTGTGAAGCGCCAGTCATGTGGCCTCAGACATGACACTCAGCCGGACATTTATTTTCCCATCTACAAAATTGCAACAAGGGAGGGTGTCAAGACTGAGTATAGGCTCTGGATTAAACTGTCAAGAGTTCAAGTGCGGACCCCAGTGAGGCAAGCCGTGGGCACATTCCTTAGCTTCTCAGCCTCCAATTCTCAGCTCTGAACTAGGGTTGTTTATGAAGATAAAATGAGCTAATATACAAGTGAGGGAGATGGGCACAGGTCAAGCCATCGGAGGGAGAAGGCCCCTTTGTACCTATGATGCAGCTCTCCCTCCTCTGCTGGATTCCAGAAGCAGATGGGAATACAGGCATCCTCCCTTCCCTCCTCCTCCCATACAAGGGCATTACATCAAAGGATCGGAAGAAGTCATTGAGTTTATTGGGGGAGTGCAAGGGGAGCCAAAGTTTCACTGGTACATACACACACACACACACACACACACACACACACACACAGATACACACATCTGAGGCATCGCTGCTCCAGCAGATGACTTGCTCAGGGTCCCAGATTTCAAAATCAGATATGGATCTCCAGGGCCTAAGGAGGCCCAGGCTATGGAGAAGAAATGGTGACGGGGAGGTTCCAGAAGCCCGCACCCTGAGCACCAGGCCTTGGGAACCCTTTCCCCTCTCCCTGCCCGAGAACCAATCCCACCCCTACTCATCTCCCTCTTTCTCCTCCTTCCTTAAAGGGCAGTTCCCAGCTCACCTGGAGGGACTCATCTAGTGCTCCAGGTGCCCATATGACCTCCTCCTCTCCAGGCTGGTTCTGGCCCACTGGGATTATCCATGTCCATGTTCTCATAGGAGTCTGCATCTGATTAGGACCAGGAACAGCGTGATACAACTAGAGCCAGCAGGAGGCTGAGAGGGAGGTGAGACCCAGGGGACAAAGGGGACAGAAGCAGAAACACCCACCTTCCTCATGATTGGGACCAGGCTGGGCCCGAATGGAACGGACTTGGGGGGCTGAATACAGGATTCCTCTCATATCCTCATAGGACTGGGAGCCTGCTTGGGCAAGAGAGTTGGAGGCCTAGAGCCATGCTGGGCTCGGGGAAGGGAGATGCAGCCTAAGACACAGAGGGAATCTGAGGGACAGAGGAAGGTGGAGGGCTTGACCCAGCCTGTACTAGGAAGGAGAGAGTAGGGTCGGCGTCAGATTCAGGACCCTTGTTAAGGGTCTGGTCAGATGTGGGTTAGATTATGATCACAGTCAAGAAGAGAACCTGCAGGGGCGCCTGGGTGGCTCAGTGGGTTAAAGCCTCTGCCTTAGGCTCAGGTCATGATCCCAGGGTCCTGGGATCGAGCCCCACATCGGACTCTCTGCACGATGGGGAGCCTGCTTTCCGCTCTATCTCTGCCTGCCTCTCTGCCTACTTGTGATCTCTGTCTGTCAAATAAATAAATAAAATCTTTAAAAAAAAAAAAGAAAAAAAGAAGAGAACCTGCAGAGGTCAAAGTCAGAGTCGTGAGGCAGTTGTAGAGACAACTGGGGTCAAGGCTGCGGTTTGTATGGGGCTGGGGTGAGGTGGAGGTCAAAATCCAAGTAGGAATTGCACTGGGATCAGAGCTGATGTTCATAGTTAGGGGTGGGGTAAATACTGGGATCAGGATTGCGGTTGAGGTTAGTGTTAGGATATGATTCAAGGCCAGAATTACACCAGAAGTCAGAGTCAAGGTCAAGGTTGAGGTTGAGGTTGAACCTGGAGGCGGGGCTGAGCACCAGGTCAACCCAATCTGCCCAAGACAGGATGGTTCTTAGCATTTCTCACCAAGAGAGGTTGCTTCCCTGCTGGGGTCCCAGGCTGACCCATGGGGGCTCAGGAAATCTAGAGAAGAGAGGGAAGTTATTTCTCCTGGCCTCCAGGTCCCCGATACACACACATCCCACCCCCCACATTAATGGGACTATCTTCACACATACCTGCCGTCCTGGTGACTGGCTGGGCCAGCTCTTCATCCTCGTTCTCGTAAGACTCGGCTGCTGCAGGGAAAAAAGAGAACTCCAGGGACCATTCGTGAGCCTTAGGGGCTCCACAGCCGTCTGGGTCCTCCCAAGCCTCCGAGGCCCCGCAAGAACCCTAAATTACCGCTGGAGAAGGAGTCTTCATCCTCAGGACCCAAGGCTCCCTCCTCAGGGTTCTCATAGCCGCTGCCATCTGGTGGAGAAAGAGAGGGGGGTGTCCAGCGAGGCCCCACAGTCCACTGGGGAGAAGGTGGGGGAGCCGCGGGGGGACGCAGTCTTACCCTGGGAGAGTCGGTCCTGCCCGCGGTTGGAGTCATTCTCGTAGAACTCGGAGCCCTCCTCACTGTCTGGCTCCTCGTAGGCCTCCCCTTCCTCTTCTTCTGGGCCTGGGGTTCGGGGATGTGAGTGGGAACCGAGTCACTGCCCCCTTCCTTCAGGCCCCAGCCCAGTATTCCTGCCGCAGACCGCTCCACCATCCCTCACGTGAGGACACCGCGCCCCCCAGCCCCCAATCAATCACCTGCCGGCGGTGGGCTCCGGGACCCCGCTGCTCCAACTTCCGGGACGTCGCTGCGCGGGCTTGCGTAAGACTGGACGGCGGCTCCCAGGCCTGCAGCCCACCTCAGGGCACGTCCTGGCGGAGGAGCGTTGTAGCGGGAGAGAAGAGATGGGGGCGGTCACGACTAAGGGTCTGCGAGGCTGGGCAGGGGACGGGAAACTACCGGCTCCAACGGGGCCTTTGACTCTGGGCCCCGAACCCTCGCCCTGGGCGGGGAGGGCGGGATCTACACCTGGGGGCGCGGCCTCAGTCTCCCGGCTGGGAGGTGCGGCCCTCGGAGCCGGACTTCAGGTCCCGCGCCCTGGGGGCGGGGCACTGAGCTCTGGGGGCGGGGCACTGAGCTCTGGGGGCGGGCTCAGGTGCTAGGGGCGGGGCTCGAATCTGGGCGGGACTCCGCGTCCCAGGGGCGGGCTCTTTTTTTCTGAAGGCGGAGCTCCAAACTTGGGGAGGCTGGGCGCTCCGGCGATTGGAGTGACGAGAAAAGGGGTGGGGCTCTAGCTCGGAGAGAGACTCGGCGGTGCCTCCTACCTGTGCCAGAGGTGGGCGTGGGAAGCGAGAGCACGTTCCCGTACTGATTGTGGGCCCCGCTTCCCGGGGGAGGCGTCACTTTGAAGAACCTGGCGGAGAGAGCGGAGTTGCACTGTGAGGCCTGGCCCTCGATTAAAACATAGTCATGTGTATTTAGCTCCTCTGTTCTTCCTCAGCCTGCAGAGGGCTCTGGGATCACTCCCAGGAGATCTTCACAAGGGAAGGTAGCTTTAGAGCTGGGCTTTGAAGCTTGGGCGGTATTTCAACGGTAAAGGAAAGGAAACAGTAAGTGCAAAGCATTGAGCAAAAGTGCAGGGATGGGAGACTGCGGGGGCGCTGGCGTCATTACCTTCTGGTGGGATCGGTCATTCGCTTTCTTTTCCTCCTGAGTATTAGGGCTGGTGAGAGTTAAGGGGCGTGATCAGAGGAGGCAGGGTGAAGATTGGCGGGGCGCTGGGGAGGTCCCTTGGGTCAATGGAGGGGAGGGGACTTAAATGTCCAAGGGGCCCGGTAAGTTTGGAGGGCGGTTAGAGGTATGGGAGGAGAGAGGTGGTTGCTGGAGTAGCGGGTATGAGCTGTGCTGGGGAAGATGGGTAAGTTGGGCAGAGGGGCTGGGGGACATGACTGACCTCTTCGAAGTCGAAGAAAGCTCACCAGGGAACCCAGGCAGAAGATCAGGTAAAGTAATGGCACAACAGGGACCTTCCAGCCACCAGTCTCCAGCAGCCAGTACCGTATTGCTGGGGAGAAGCAGCTATGAGACGGGGACCCCAGGCTGGCGTGTTGGTTCCCAGCCTCAAGACCTCAAAGGGCCAGAAGTCTGGGAGACATGGACAAGACACAGATCCTCAAAATGACAAGCTACAAGGGGGAATGGCCTCCCTCCCTCTGAGGTCAGGGACTGCGCCCCAGAGCCTGAGCTGGGGCCTGGGGCAGTATCTGTGCAACAAACCACGACCATAGTCAGACTCTATGTTAGGATTCAGGGGAGCGTGATGATAAGCTTCCTGCTGCAATTGAGGACAGTCGTGTGCAAAGTGAAGGTCAGAGTCAAGTTCACAAGATTAAAGGCGGGAAGCAGCAATGTCCTGGAGGGAAGTGTAGAGTTAAAGTCGAGGTTGAGTTTGAGAACTGTTGTTAGGGTAGCATGGGAGGATTGAGTTAAGGGAGACAGAAGGAGCAGCACACTGTGACCAGTCTGATGGATAGATGGGTGAGGAAAAGGAAGGATACCCAGGTTCCTGGCTTCGGCCCATGGGCAGGTGGTAGTGGCTTTCATATACTCAGAGACACCCAAAACACTACGCTTGGGGAAGATGTCACCGATGTCGCCTTTGGTTTTGTATATGTTGAGCAGGGACATCAGATGACAGGAAATGGCCGGGCTTGAGGTGTATGGAGCCTGGAATTGAATCACTAAGGCATGGTGGCCTAAGGAGGTCAGACAGAAAGAGAGTGTAGACAAAGACAAGAGAAAAGTGCTGAAGGGATAAGATGATGCCTCAGAGCTCCAACAGTGAAAAGTGGGGGAGGGAGAAAGACCCTAGAGAATGGGAAGGAGCAACCAGTGGTAGGAAAAGACCCAGAAAAGTAGTGATTTGGAAACAAGGGAGAACAGAGGTAGAGTCAGTGGTCAGTATAGAAGCCGGGATTTGGGGTGGGTCTGGTACTAGCTCTCAGTTTGGGGGTGCCAAGGTTGACCGACTCCCAGTTCTTCCCAGTAGCCCCCACCCAGGTGCCCCACAATTGAGAGAAACTCTACCTGAATGGGCAGTGACCTTCAGCTCCATCTCCATGGTCATGTTGCCGTGGTAACAACGATAGATGCCAGCATCTCGAACAGTGGCCTGGGGCAGCAACAGAACAGCCCCTCCCCTGAGGGTGCCCAGGACCCACATCTCTCTGCCTGGGGCGTCCTCCCTCAGGTTTAAGCTCAGCAAGGAGATGTTATGCTTCTTGGGGTGCACGTGGGTCCAGGAGATGGGGCCTCTGGCCACGGAGGCAGGGGGCACCTCACAGGGCAGCCAGAATGTGGAGCCAGGGGCCACGGTGAGGTCTGGGGCAGGGAGAGCCAAGGCTAGGAAAGTGTCAGCCTTGGGGTCTCCTCCCCACAAACCCTCCAGTTCCCAGTCACCGTCCCCCATCCCTGGAATCCCTACTTCCTGGCATCCTCCCGGCACCCTACCTTGCTTGAGGCTCTGATTCAGACTGTCCCTGGGCAGGGCACATTCAGGGTCGGTCTTCCAGGTCTCAGGGTGGTCTTGGGCCCACACGTACAGCTGGGAGCTTGTGGGATAGCCAGAAGGTGGCTTGGGGCCCTCTGAGGACCTGTTCCCCAGGCTGCAGCCTGAGTCATTTAGGGCCGAAGCATTCCACCGGAACACCTCCCCTAGGAAAAGACCCAGAACCAGATACGGACACATCCAGGAGAGGCGAAGACATACAGAGACCCAGAAAAGCAGAGACAGAGACGAAGACCCAGAGAGAGATGAGAGTGAAACACGGAACAGCTCAGGGTTGAAGTCATGAAGCTACAGGAGCTCTGAGGAGCCACCTAGAACAGCTGCATGCCAGTCCCTCGGCCCTTCCACACCCTCCCTACAAATCCGTTTTCGCCGGTCTGCCTCCATCTACGTTGGGCCTCCCTCTTCTCATCCACCCCTCCCTGCCCCAGCCCAGACCTCACCACTGCCTGCCACGCTGACTGTCCAGCCAGACTGCCAGGCCTGCTTGGAAGGGGGCCCCAGCTGGCACAGGTAGAAGCCCCCCATCTGGTCGGAGACGTTGAAGACAAGCAGCTGGACGCCCAGGGACCCCTTCTGGATGACCACGTCTTGGGGCCCGTGGCCCAGATCTGACTGAGACCCCTGAAACCAGGCCTGCCGCTCAGGGGGACCATCTGAGGGACGGTTGAGACATGGTAGCTCAGCTTTGCCTCCCTCTGAGGAGAGAGAGAGGGAGGGAAGAAAGGAAATCTTCACCCTCTTGATTCCTCACACCAGGTTAGTACCCAACGACTCCACCAGCTGGGAGTGGAAGAGCTCTCAGAGTCCTCCCAGCCCCTCCCTGAATTTTACAGATAACAAAATGAAGGCCCATAGAGGGTAAGTGACTTGGCCAAGGGCACCCAGCCAGACCTGAGTTTCCAGCCCCAACTCTTTTCCATCTGTACCTTCTGGACATACCTTTAGCCATCACCAGCAGTGTTTTCTGGGGCCTGACTCCCTCGGGGGTAAGGAAGAGGAGGAAGAAGAGAAGGAGAGGAGGTGGCATGGCGGCCAGACTCCCCGGGGCACCCAGCTTGGCCGCGCGGGGGATGCTGGGGCAGGCGGGGGCCTGGGGGGGCACTGAACCATGAGTGTCTGTGGGGGCGGGCGGGCGGGCAGGCAGTCCCCTGAGGGAGGAAGGGGTGGTCACACCTTCAGTCCCCTTCTCCATGCACGCCTCCAGACCCACAAAACTTGTCTCCTCCCTGCCACACTTTTATTTTCATCCGGACGCTTACCACCGTGTGAAAATGACCTTGGCTGTGTGTCTGCTGGTTCACTTTCTGTTCCTCCCACTAGAATGTAAGCCCTTCGGGGCAGAGCCTTGGTCGTGCTCAACGCTGTACACATCATGGCTCTGGGATGGTTCTTGGGACATCACAGGCACCCAATAAATATTTGTTGAATTGAGTGGCTGCACACAGTAGGCCTTCAGTTAATGGGAGACAGTCCCAGCCAGCGGCTGAGAGCACAAGCCAGGTTGTGTGCTCAGCCGTCCTGAGATGATCAGTGCCCTTTAGTGTCCCACTTCTCCAGGAAGCCTCTGCTTCAGTTATGGAAGGAACCAATTTGGAAACGGGGAAATCGAGGCCCCCCAAAGGGCAGGGTATTGCCTGAGCTCACACAATGAGCTGGTGGTCTAATAAGCACTAGAACTCAGGGGTCTTGACTCTGAAATCTGTGCTTCCACCCCTCCCCGCCCCAGTCTCTCTCCTCCTTCCTCCTCTAGCTCTCTCTCTCTCTCTCTGCCTGTGTGGATGTTATGTCCATCTTTCACTCTGCTGTCACTCAGGGAAAGGGGTCCAGAGACCCAGGAGACCTGCTCACTCGGTTGCCGGTTCCCAGGCCCGGCTCGCTATGCTGCAGCTTCCTGTTTGCTCTAGGCAAACCCCAGGGGACCCTCCAGCTGGCAGGGCCCCCACTTCCCTTGGTTGGGTTGGGGTGGCTTGGAGGGGGAGAGTGAGGCATTGGGGAATGCAGAGGGTTAAGTGGCAGGACTCCGTTTGCCTTTCAACAAAATCTCTCCAGTCCCCTTCCTTAACTTTTAGGCGGCCTTGGGGCCAGTTTCCTGACTGGAGCGGATCAGTCCCCAGCTCTGAATGCTGTGGTGGCTTTTTCCGTGCCTCAGATAAACACTGCAAACCATGGCCTCCAAAAGCCTGAGTGAGGCTGCCGTGAACTACAATTCCCACCTCAGCCCTCCACTGCTCTGCCCCTCACTCCACACAAAACCTTTGCACTTGCTTCTCTTCCTCCTGGATCCCTCCTTGGCTCTTTGCTCCCCTGGCTCCTTTTCATCCCTCAGGCCTCCATTCAAATGTTACTTCCTCAGAGAGGCCTTTCCTGACCCCCTTGGTACTTTTGATTTCACACCCCTGTTTTATTTCCTTCCCAGCATTTGCCCAGTTCCCAAACATGCTTGCTTCTTTGTTGATCTCTCATCTGCTTCCTGCCCCAGAATGTTCGCTGGCTCTTCCACAACAGGGATCTTTCCTGTCTTGTTCTCTGGCATCTAGTAGGTGCTCAGTAAGTATTTGTTGGATCTAGTGGAAAAGTTCATAAAGGGAAACTAGGCCAGGAGGGGGAGCTCTCATGCTGAACCACTTCCCCAAATATAGGAAGCTAAGTCAGTTACAGACCCAACAGAAAACCCCTCATAGGAAAGAGTTGTCAATTACAGGCCCCAACAGGAAAAGATGTACATCTGTGGTTGCATGTCCTACAAGAAATTGATCACCCCTGCAACTCAGCCAATGAGAAACCATCATCACCCTGAACTGCTTTTCTCCAATGGACTTTCTTCCAAACAACTCCTCCCAACTTTCTCCTTCTTTTCCCTAAAATAACATTCCTCTCCCTTGTTGGTTGGGCCAGCCTATAGTTTTGCTGTAACTTCTTATCCTGAATTGCTATTCTGAAATCAACCCAGTTATTGCCATGAAAGTACCTTTTATTTTTAAGGTCCACAAAAGGAAGGAAATTAGGAAGAGCAAAAGAAAACGTTCTCTTCACTTCCCTCACATGCACTCAAGTCACCAAGGCTAGTCCAATTTTCATCCTCAATATTTCTAGGATCCACTTCCTCCTCTTTTTGGACTCTTCCCTTCCCAACCTTCAACAGCCTCTTTTGTGAGGTGTCTTCTGTCCCTTTTGCTTTCTACCTACTCTACAGAGAAAGAACTTCCCTTGGTATTAGTCATGTGTATCTCCTGCTCAACAGCCTTCAAAGGCTCCCAGGGTCTCAGGATAAACTCCAAGCCTGATACCTGACTGGAACCTTATCGTCATCATTTCATCTTTTTTTTAAATATGTTTTTTAAAGATTTAATTTATTTATTTGACAGATCACAAGTAGGCAGAGAGGCAGGCAGAGAGAGAGAGGAGGAAGAAGGCTTCCCACTGAGCAGAGAGCCTGATGAGGGGCTCCATCCCAGGACCCTGAGATCATGACCTGAGCCAAAGGCAGAGGCTTTAACCCACTGAGCCACCCAAGCGCCCCATCATTTCATCTTCTTCTCAAGAAACTCTGCCTCACACACAGAATCTTAATCTTAGGGCAGTCAGCTACTGAGGGCAGTAAGATGATTGGGATTTATACGCAAGAGTTAACCTGGCCAGATTTTTTAAAGTTTATTTATTTGCTTTAGTGATCGCTACACCCATCCTGGGGTTTGAACTCATGACCTGGATCCTGAGATTAAGAGTCACTTGTTCCTTGGACTGAGCCATCCAGGGGCCCTAATCTGGCCAGGTTTGCATTTTCTAAAACTCCTGATGGATGCAGTGTGGAGGGGAGATTAGAGGGAGGCCAGAGAGATCAGTAAGGAAAGTGTTCCTTCCTTTGTTCATTTTTTTATTCCCCAATTTTTTTTTTACTTTTTTTTTTTTTTTTTTTTTTTAAATCAGGCACTGTGCTTAGTGCTGAGGAAACAGCAGGGGATAGGACACCTCATGGAGCTTTGACTCAAGTTTTGGGAACTTGGAACGGGAAAGGGTGACAGGTAAAGAAGTTAATCAATAAACAATTTCAGATGGCAAGGAGTCATCTAATAGTGGACAGGTGATAGAGGTAGCTAGCTACTTGAAACAGGATGGTCAGGGAAGGCCTCATTGAGGAGGTGGGGAAAAGCTTAGTATGTTCAAATAAGGTCATGCTCAGTTTTATTAGGAACTGTCACACTTTTTTTTTTTTTAAGTTTATTTTTTTAAGTAATAAATACCCAACGTGGGACTCAAACTTGGGACCAAGAGTTACATGCTCTTCCAACTGAGCCACCAGGAACCCCAGAAACTATCATATTCTGTTCCAGAGTGACTATAACATTTACATTTACCATCAGGAATATAAGAGAAGTCCAGTTTTTCCCCATACCAACCAGCATTTGGTATCATCATTTTTTTTAAATTTTAGCCATCCGGGTAGGTCTGTAATGGTATCTCCTTGTGGTTTTAATTTGCATTTCCCTAATGGCTGATGATGGTGAACAATTTTTCGTGGGCATATTTGCCATCTGTGACATCAGTGAATTGTCTATTCCTGTCCTTTGCCCATTTTCAAAACTGGATTGAACTGGAAGATTTTAAGCTGACACATGTTTTTGCAAAGATCACTCTAGTTGCTTTGAGAATTAAAGGAGCCAAAAGGCGCCACAGGGGAGCACTAAGGAGGTGTTGTGGAAGCTCAGGAGAGAGAGATTGTGTTACTGCAGGAGAAAAAGAAAGACGGACACCTTCTGGAATATTCAGTTCTTTGGAGGTAGAGCTTACAGGACTTAAAGGCTGCTGGAATGTACTTCACAGTGGTAGGAACGGGTTTGGGAGAATGGGAATCAAGATTCTGGACTTGAGTTTGGGCTGCCCGTCACCCTCCAAAGGAAGATGTCGGGTCGCCTGTCGGACGGCTCACAGATAATGAGACCTCGATTTAGGGCAGTGGCCCAGGGAGGAGAGGAGGGATTTGAGAGGCACAGGGAGGGGGCGGGGGGATTAGCAGCAAACTCTGACTGGTTGAGTATCAAGGGGGGGGGGGGGACGCCGAAGTTTCTGATTTCTCTGACGGACTACGCGGGACTCCTGCGCCCTGAAAAGCGAAGCCGACGAAGCCCTGCCCCGAGGGACGCTCCACCAGGGCGGAGGTACTGGCAGGCCCGGCCACAGCTCTCTGTAATGTGAGCCAGGCTCCGGCAGAAGGGGGTCAGGGGACCGCGCAGGAGCTTGCTGCGGTGCTCGGAAGAGACCGCGAGAGCTTCGCCCTTCTTTAGGCTGAGGCCGGCAGGCGTCTCGGAGGTGCAACTTGAGCAGACCTTTCAAGGTCACGCGGAACCGCCAGAAGGACTTTGATAAAGAACTTCTTCAAGGTTTGAAGGACAACCGTCCTTCAAACAACCGCGCTGCCCCGGAAAGAAGGCGGGGAGGGGCGGGGCGCGGGCCCGCGGACCGGCTCGGATTCGGAAATCTTCGGTCCGGGCTCGGAAATCAGTCTCCAACTCCGGCCTGGGCCTCGAGCCAGGGGCCGATCCGGAAACAGCCGAGCGGATCCGGAAACAACCGAGGGGACCCGGAAGGGGTGAGCACCGTCACCAGGGAGTGCTGGAACCCACCGTTTGCGCGGAGGCGATGGCGGCAGCTGTGCCGGCGGCCGCGGGCGAGGATGGCCGGCGACGGCAGCCGCGGGCCTGTAAGTGAAGGCGCGTCCATGCACGCAGGGGGCGGCCGAGCCGGAGGCGGGGCCGAGCTCGGAGCCGGCGGACAGGGGGATGGTGAGGGAAGACTGGAGAAAGGGGCGGGGCCTTGCCGTCTGGAGAGAGAGGGCGGGGCCAGCAGTCCCCGGAGGAGGGGGCGTGGTCCGGGGGTCGAGGGGAAGGGCCAGTGGCAGGTGAGAGGTGGTCCAGTGAGGGAAGGGGCGGGACCATTGGAAAGGCGGGGTCTAGTCTGGGAAAGAAGGGGGGAAGGCGGGGCTCCAGGCAGCACGTGGCAGCGCGAGGTGAGAAGGAGGCGGGGTCAGGTGAGCGGGGCGGGGCCAGGTGAAGGTGTGAGGATCGC